GAGAGAGAGAGAGAGAGAGAGAGAGAGATGGAGAGAGACAGAGAGGGGGGAAGGAGAGAGGGAGAGAGAGAGAGAGGGAGAGAGAGAAAGAGAGAGAGAAAAAGAGGGGAAAAGAAAGAGACGGGGAAATATAGAGTGAGAGAGAGAGAGACATATACATAGATGTACATAGGATATATAGAGGAAATGCATATATTGTTATGTTATTTCATTGTGTAGAGAGCTGCACTATGACCGATTGGACTTCGTGGGGCCCTTGCTCACAGACATGCGACGGTGGCTATAGGGAGCAAACGAGAACAGTGAACACCCCGGCAAATAAGAACGGAAAATGCAAAGACCCAATCGTGAAGAGAGAAACCTGTGGAGAAGACCCATGCGGTAAATCCACTATATATGAATAGTATTTAATAATAATAACAAGAAGAAGAAGAAGAAGGAAAAAAGAAAGAAGAAAAATCAACATCATCATCATCATCATTATTATTATCATCATCATCATTATCATCGTCATCATCATCATCATCATCATCATAATCATTAACATCATCATTATCAATTTCACTATTATCATATTATCATATGATTATACTCATACTATTACATTTGTCATCTTCATCATCTTGTACAATTAAGCGAGTTGTTGCGTTCAACGAGTGACCAGATAACTTACATCATGTGATAGCCTAATATTCCATCATTATCGCAGTTGATATCGTTATAAGAAGCTCCTATCTCCCTGGCCCGACGAGGCTGTGCGACTGATTGTCTATACAGGTCTTCTATATAGGAATATATATATATTCGTTTTTTGGAGCTACTATCTCCCTAGCATGCAATGGTGCACTGTTTGCATTCTAACGGGAGTTTCTATAGCGTGCTGTCGCAGGATGAATTCGTGTGTGAATGACAAATTATTTTCGATGCCATGTAGGAGTGGATTGTCCGCCAGGATTAGAGTTTCATGCTTGCGCTAACAAGTGTCCAGTGCTCTGCGAAGATCTGTCTCCAGACTACTCCGAATGTGTGTACAACGATACTGACTGTGTGCCGGGCTGTGTCTGCCCGTCTGGCATGGTAAGATTTCTCACAGTTAACTCCCCGATGGTATCTGTGAAGTGATGCTATATAACTATAGGCTCTTGAAGAGTAAAAAACAAGTACTATTTTACATGTTAAACGCCGCAGATACGTTTAGAATTCATAAAATAAATCACCGGGTGGTATACGCCACAGTGAATGCTTAGGAGAGTGTGTGTTACCGGTACTCTGAAAAAAGCTAGTGTAATTTTAACTTATATTCACTTAATTATATTAACAATTAAACTTAATTTAAATTTTATTTATTATTTTTAGTAAAATTTATTCACTTATAGCAGATGCACAGAGCGAGCACGAGATTAAGAAACGTGCTCTTACGAGATGTTAATTGAACACACAAAATATAAATTACGAAATACGAAAGTTATACGAGCATAGAAACTAGGCGTGGATGGGTGGGGGCTGATACGCCCTAGTTGCGATGTTTCAGGCGTCGCAGGCGGGTGAGTGTATACCGTACAGCGAGTGCTACTGCGCATGGAGTGAAGACTTCGTAGCGGCTGGCACAGTGCGACCGTTGGATAGTAACGGCAACCCTATAACCAGCTTCCCGCCCGGTTACGTCCTTAGCAAACGCTGCCTCGATTGGTAGGTCATGCATTGCGCGCGCTACAATAATAATAATAATAATAATAATGTTGNTAATGTCTCTTACCATCTAATATTAACGCACAGTTGCATTTTATTCCGCGGCTATTACTATAAGTAGAAGTAGTAGTAAAAAGAGTAGAAATAGTAAGAGTAAAAAAACGGATTTCATTGTGCGACTGTTACAACCACGGTCGGGCAGTAATTGTTTAATTAAATATTAATTAATTGTTTATTTAATTAATTAATAATTGGTTAATTAATTAATTAATTAATTAATCGTCTGCATTTCAATTTAAGTGTATGTGAGTCGGGCGTACTCAACTGCTCTACGGATGCCTGTTCGGACTGGACACCGTGGGGGCCGTGGTCGTCTTGTTCAGTAACATGTGATGCAGGCGTTCGCACGCGACACAGATCTTGTCATCCCTCCAACAACCCGGCAGATTGCTTGGGAAGCAGCATCGATACGAGAGGCTGCAATGGAAACCCGCCATGCAAAGGTTAGATACGATCAGGAGTGGATCATAGAGAATCTAGTATCCACTCCTGATACGATTGGGATTGTCTGTTTGTCCGGTAGATGTGAGTGCAGAGCACAGTGGGGGAGAGTGGTTGGTCGGGTCCCGAAATTGGAACACTAACAACTTTATCGGCTGTTATGGAAAACTACCTTTGCGTGTTCTAATGTTTGCTGTTAATGTAGCAATATAACATGACACTTTCTTCTGCAACAATCCTGGTTCATCCTGGTGCAATCTTGGTGCAATCCTGGTGCAATCCTGGTGCAATCCTGGTGCAACAATATGGTCATAAACGTTATCTCCGCTCGCGTGCGTGCGTGCGTGCGTGTGTGTGTGCGTGCGTTTGCGCGTGCGTGTGCGTGTGCGTGTGCGTGTGCATGTGCGTATGTGTGTGCGAGTATGTGTGTGTGTGTGTGTGTGTGTGTGTGTGTGTGTGTTCGTGTGCGTGTGCGTGTGCATGTGTGTGTGTGGTGGGTTTGTGTGTGTG